CCCGGCGCCCCCATGTTGTAGATGTGGAACTTCAGGTCCCCGCCGTTCATGATGGTCAACACCAGACACAGGGCGTCCTTGGTCTCGTACGCGTACGCCAGGCTCACCTGCGAGGGGAACGACGGGGAACACACTCAAAAGCCGCGATTCCAGCGGGGGGCGGGGGTGGCGACCCCAGAAGCGGAACTCACCACGAAGCGACTGTTGACTTTCTCCAAGATCTGCTTCTCGTTCAGCGCCATGGACTCTCCTTTGCGTTTCTTGATCCTCTTCTTCTCCAGCTTCTTGCAGGCGTACATCTTCCCCGTGGCTCTGACCTGGCAGGCGCACACCTGAGAAAACGAAACGGGAGATTTCGCAGATCACAAAAACTGTACCGCTGGCGATTTTTAGCCCCACACCAGGTTTGGGAACCAAGATAGCGGTTCCCAAAGCCCAAATCGAGTAAGGTCAGTCGGGCGATGACGGTCCACTTTTCTGGACGTAGCTACTCTGAGGCCCAATATTAGCATAATTGTGTAATATCGGTAAAAATCGTTATTGGATTTTTCTTCCGATAATAGAATGCCTGAGAGTTGCGAAATTGCTTTTAGGGTCACAAGAGTTTTACCAAATTTTTGGGGCCAAACAACGGCTTATATCGGTATCGGTTGTTATCGGAATCAAAAATTAAGTGTTTGGACAATATCAGCAAAAGGTTCAGACATTCCGATAATGAAATCCCGATAAGACAATGCCTGAGAGTTGCCAAATCGCTTGTAGGGTCACGAGGGTTTTATCTCATTTTTGGCGGCAAACTGCAGCATATATCGGTATCGGTTGTTATCGGAATCAGAAATTTAGTGTTTGGACAATATTGGTATATCAAATATCGGCAAAAAGTTCCGACATCCCTACATTAATCTGATAACCGTCCGGTCACGACGTGGTGTTGTGTCGGACATCTGCAATGTCGGCCATCTTACCTCTCCGAACCCCCCCTTCCCCAGGACTCGGTACTGCCTGAATGTGTCCTTCGTGATTGGTTGCCTGAGGAGAGAGAACACAGAGAACCCATTAACACAGAAGAAGCTTGTATGATATTGATCCAGAACTCGACACCATCCGGAGTCCGTTTCCTGTACAAGGGCGCGGCTTCTCGGAGGCTTTTAAACTTCGCGACTTCACGACCTTTTTACAGACACTTGACGGGATGTAATTCGCCCCGAGTGGCGTCGGACTCTTCTGAACGGTCGTAACTGAGTGAGTTGGGTAATTAACGATAGCTCATTTGGGACGTTCGGCGTTCTCTGAAGCTAACTTTAAAAGTGCGAGTCCATGTTTTTACGTTGTAACATACAAGATGCAAAAAAAATGCGATAACATCGACCGACCCATATTATCAGTCCGATAAGCATAGTTATCTCTGATTATGAAAAGCCGAAAAACAGAATGCCCGGGTCGCGCTAAATAAAAAAAAAAGGCTGTATATGAAAGTGACAGCCACTAGGTAGCAGCATTGCAGCTAATTTTTTTCTTAATCGATTTTGATATTAACATAATCGAAATTAAAAAAGAAAAAAAAAATTACCAGGTTTATAATGTTTCAATTTGGGAGGGTAAAAAAAAGATTTCTGCCCCGTAGTGGTAGCATGCAAAGAAATGATTAAGAAACACTGCTATAAACCACCTTAGTGAACGGGCGGCACTTAATGCCCTTATCCACTAGGTCACCACTCCGATATCAGTTGATATCGGAATCGGAAATTACGTGTTCGGACAACATATACCAGCACATCGGAAATAGGCTAAGAGTTGATATTGGACATCCCTAAAAATATATATATATATTTTTAATTTTCATTCCACATAAAAAACAGTATAACTTCACGATCGAAGACGATATTGATGAAAAAAAAAAAGAAAAAAGTTTCGTCCGACCTTTCCAGAATCTTCCACTGCAGGAATCGGTCGAAGTACATGGAGTTCTGGTAGTCCTTGAATGCACCGTCACTCAGGAAGTCGTGAACCGCTGACATGGGAACACAAACCCCTGTGTCAGATCGTAGAAACGGAGAGACATTGGGGGAGGCAGCGCGACTCACCTGCGACAATCACTGAAGATTTCCTTACACGGACTGAGTTCCAGGTTCTCCCTGCAGGTGTCGGCAAAAACCTCGGCTACGTCCACTCGCTGAGGTGACTTCGTTAGCATGTGTAAACAAAGATACATACGTTACGTTATGTTACGTTACTTCTATATTTTGGTGACGGGCGGAAAAAGTTAGGACTCGTACTTGTTTGGAGAGAAACGTCTTGATGATCTGGTCCCCGGTACTTTTTCTTTTTTCGTCCGGTGTCACCTCGTAGTCTTCCTAAAATAACCAAACAAGTCGGTGATGTCAAATATATCAAATATATTAACACTAATTATAAACATAAAACTGTAAAAAAATATATAACTATATATATTGATATTGGTAAAAAACACCAGAGCTAAGTTTACCTAAAACAGTCCTGGTACAGAGACTAGAGCTATTGTAGCTAACGTTAGCTCTGGTGCCTGTATCCGGAACTGTTGTAGCTAACGTTAGCTCCGGTGCCTGTATCAGGACTGTTGTAGCTAACGTTAGCTCTGGTGTCTGTACCACAACTATTGTAGTTAACGTTAGCTATGGTGTCTGGACCACGGCTATTTTAGCTAACACTATCTCTGGTGTCTCTACCACGGCTATTGTAGATAACGCTAGCTCTGGTGTCTGTACAATGGCTATTGTAGCTAACGCTAGCTCTGGTGTTTCTACCACGACTATTGTAGCTAACGCTAGCTCTGATGTCTGTACCATGACTATTGTAGCTAACCGTAGCTCTGATGTCTGTACTATGACTATTGTAGCTAACGTTAGCTCTGGTGTGTGTGTGTACCATTGCGTCCAGTAACCGAATGCATCGCTGCAAACTGGGTTTGGTCTCGCAGTAAAGGCAAACGTAGTCCCTTTCTGCGAAACAAGGAAAAATACAGAAATAAATACGTAACTAAATAATCACAATTCGCATTAAAGTGAAAAAAACCCCAACAGTTACCGATGCTGTTCCCCAGTTCGGAACACTGGCTAATATGAGGGAATCGGAGGATCTCCTTCCATTTCTTGCTCCTCCCTTTGCGCTTTCCTCCTCCACCTGCAGGGGGCAGCAAAAAAAAAAATAATAAAAAAATTAAAAAAAACTCCACAACACGACTAAGATACACACTGTAGTAGCTAGTCATCACCGATCGCCTGAGTGTAAAGTAAACCCTGTCGAAGCTCAGCTACGATGCTAGCTTTAGCTTTGGTGTATGTACCAGTGTTGTAGCTAACGTTCGCTCCTGTTTCTTCTAGCGCTCTCCTTTCTAACCTAGCTAGCTAACACATTGTCCCACGTCCCGCCTTTCTTATGAGCTTTGGTGCCCCCCCGAGGAAGGCGAGCCTTACTGCAATATACTAGAGCTAGCTTTTGCTAGCACCGTACACACACACACAACAGCCCACAGTCCCAACTTCCCCCACTACAACGAGGAAATGTCAGGGCTATTTGCGTAAGCGTACGATCAGATATTTTATCTTCTGAAAGTGGTTCAAGCAGGTGTTTGTTTTTTTCCCAGGAAAAGTTAAAATCGGAAATAAAAACACCAAGCGCTAGTTCTGTTGTTTTAGCCGATAGGCAAATGTACCGACGCCGCAGCGCACGTCAGAGGGCCAAATATATTTGCATATATTTGTGTTTTAGTTTTTGAATAGATTGAGATCGCAAACACTACTGCTACGATAATGTCCTCCAAAAGTCAAGCAAACACTGACAGAGAAGGTCAAACGGCCCCTGTGGCCCAGTAAACTAAAAAAAAAAAAAAAAAACAGTGTCGATGGTGGCCTTGTGCTAGCGCGCCGGTCGCTCACGGGGGAGATTCGTACGGGGCTGCAGTCACGACATACCAATCCAAAATGTCACGACAGACAACGTCAAATATCGATTGATTTTTTATTTGTGAAGTAAACCACGTGCTTAATGGCACCCCCTGTGGTAGCCCGTGGTAGTTGCAAAGACGCAGTACCGATAAGGAACGCAATTTTTATTATGATCTAGATTTTTTTCTTGTACGTTTTCACACGTGGCGGAGAATATTTAATTTTAGTTGGGCCTCTAGGGGGCAGCAGAGGCAATAGAACTGTTTTCACGTCATTCCTACGTGGAGATCGCAAGCGAAGACGGAATCTATATTTCTATCAAATAATAATAAATAAGTGACGCACTTAAAATTTACAATGGATTTAAAAACGAACTCTCATGTCATTTTTTTTTGTTGTTAAATTATTACATATATTACGGTCGTCTTTTATTTTTTCCAACGCGGTTCCTGGAAAGCTTCATTGCCTCGCAACTGTTTTTGCATAACATTTGATTGTGCGTAGGAGTGAAATTGCGTGTTTGCATAACGATCTGCAGGTGTGCCGCGAGTCCGACTCGCCCTCGCAGTTTCTCACGTTCGGCCCCCGAACTACAATAGTCACGTCTTTGATATGTTGTGTCTCATCGCAAATGTCAGATGACCGATTCAACCGGGTTCTGTCTCCGCAGGCTTCGTATTTGTTCATGAGCAGAATCAAGAAATATTATATACTGTATGTCAGGGTTCTCAACCCCTGGTACGGCGACTAGTGCCGGTCCGTAAATTGTTTGGTATGGGTCTGCAGTGGGCTAACGTTAGTTACAACAGTCCTGGTACAGACACCAGAGCTAACATTAGCTACAACAGTCC